CAATGGAGAATGTTTTTCCTGAATCAACAAACCGTCATTCGAAACATCATTTAACTCACGTCCCGCATCCAGAGCAACTTCATCTACGGTCACATCATCCGGATGCTTCCTGGAAGTTGTTGGACAATCCGTCTTCGAGTAGAGAATAGGAGAGGAACGATGATCTGTGGAACCTTTGGATTCAATAAGTAGAGGTTCGAAGGGTATTGGTGGGCAGATAGTTTCAAAAACAGGCCAGGAGAATGAAGGACGCCCACGGTGCGAACTGAAAATAGAAGTCTTTAGTCTGTTGAGCAAAGCAACATCTTTTGTTTGTGACTGTCGCCAGCAAACGTTTGAGGGTATAAGACTTGGACTAGCTGAACCGCTAGATCTCAAATTCGCATCATAGGACTGGAGATAAGCAGAAAGTGGTGTGGGGGCTGCGACACGATCACATATTATTCGACCACCGCGACCAAGACGACGCCTTATGTAGCCGGTGTAGGTAAGATGCTTTGTATGGCACAGCCGTGGAATTGTTGCTAATGTATAACAGGAATAGGGTGAGCGGGAAGGATGGGGACTGAGAAGTGTGGAACACTCTTCTAGCAATGACCTAAGGAAATAAACACGAATACACAAACCTTACATGAATATGAGATAAATGAAGGATAGTTGAGTACGCTAAATTATCGAGTGTTATATCCGGACTACTATAGTTTCTCTAATAGCCGTTAAGCGAATACAGAAACACCATGTTTGTGTCGAAATAATTGAATACGGATGAAAACTCACAGAAATTCTGACTGGATTGGTTAGTAATTACGCCTATAGTGAAACGCCAATTACGAGGTGACAATCAACAACCTCACTAAAAATTAGCTCAAATTGACCATGAATAACTACTCAAGCCAGACCAGTTTCCACGCAATTGCTGCAGCTGACCCCACACGACAGAATGCTTTGTTCCGTATCAACTGTGTACTCTAAACTCCAACAAACTCTTGCTGGCAGTGACTAGGTGACTGGCCCGTAGAAGTAACAAGGTACTGGCGGGGGCGAGCGCCTGGGAAGGCCACCTGCTAAATACAGTAGAAAACGAGTATTTAACTTAGTTTACCAAAGACCGAGCCATTATCAAGAAGTTGTGTCTTATCTGGAGAGTATCAGAGCCAAATGAGAAACTCCGATACGATACCGAGTGGCCTACGTGAATCAAAGCTCATAAACACAGTCACTAATGAGAACGAATTCGCAGTAACTTTTAATTCCGAGTTGAGTGACAATTTTGACTATGCTTTTAGCTAGTTAATCGTACTATGTCATCCTATGAAATTCCTTTGCTTGTAACACATAGTCCCCCTGTTTGATTCCACAACTTTGACGAAACCATACGACCGAGACCATGTCCAAACGTGTCTTGGGTAAATTCCTCGTAGGCAGACAGAAGTCTGGTATGTTGGAGACAGTAAGGTTCTATGCACGCTTGTCGCAGATTAGTTATGCCCACTTAAGATTACTCGTATAGCATAAAATGGGTTTTGGCGATTAATAACAAGTGAGAACCCTACTGTGAGGGACTATGATTACTTAGGATATTACCAGCACTATTTAATGGAAACAAATAAGAATGGTGAATTAAAATCTTATATTAAACAATAAACCTTTGCGCATCCATTATTAGCATTAATGCAAGCACTATGTACAATAATTTGAGCAGCCACTTGTCCACGATTGGAAACGTTAAAAAATATATTGCGCTTTTAAAGTATAATTTAAGAAGCCTTCATCATGTACAGAAATCCGTGGTTAGCGCTACTATGCCACCCAAATCATAGGCGTCCTACTTAAGATACTTTTGAAAGGCTGTAGAAAAATGGACAGTGAGTATAACTCAACAAATAGACTAAAGTTCAGTACAGAAATACAGTGGGTCCGCTGGTTAACTATATACCTTGGCTTCAAATATCGGCAACCAGGAGTTCTAACAAAAGAGAATGGTCCATTTTGATCATCATCATTGTCAGAGGCCTCGTCGGAACTTGTGGGGTTTGGAAGATTGCTGAACCTCTTGACCAGTTTGCGCTTGCGATTAGGACGCCTTTTGTTGTCCTAAAAGGAATAAAATTATTAGGTAGGTAACTTACTTTCAAAGACCTCATAGTTTCTACACTTTCATTGTCGTGGTGGTTCCGCACTAAAGCTTCGGCTTCTACGAGACTTAAACCTTCCCAGTCGCATAGCTTGCATCTAAGCTGAAAGCATCTGTAATCACAGTTAACAATTGCTTCCTTCGTAGCTTCACGTTTGACAAGTCGACCGAGTATCTCCCTAAGAAAATGAATTAGAATGAACTTTTTCAAACCCTAAAGAATCCATTTGTTCTCGCAAGATCAACATCCTTTCGTACGACTGCTCATCACTTTTTCGGTTTTTACGGGTTTGCATCTTCTCACTCCGTCTTCGGAACGCCACATATGGATCGGTGTTACTACTACCATCACGTCGCTCTTGTCGAACAGCGTAAAGAAGAGGTTGTCTTGACTGGACACGCTTGTTAAGCCAATAGTCATACACAGCGATAACTAGGGATGGGTGGTCTTGAAGAAGGTACTTAGCCTCTTCCAAATTCATTACCTATAAGCAATGAACTAGTGGAAGTATTTATACCTTTTGACCACAACCACGCTCAAGGCGGTCGATCATAGACTCAAATTTCTCAGGAGTAATACCCAGATCACTCTTTTGAAACCATTCTTCATCCTCACTATCCATATCATATTCAATTGGTTCCTCTTCCGAGAACACGATTGCTTCACAGAAAATGTTACATCAATCCACAACTTACTTCTGATATGCAAAAGCTGTTTTGGTAGACTAAAGCTGTCTGGGTAAACACTTTTATAATCATTCTCTTTGTCAATTATCTCGGGAACAGGTATTTTAACATCTGAGTCAGTACGGAGTTGCAGGGCCTGAATAACCTCCAGAAAGTGATGTTCCTGGTGGGGAAAGTTAAAAAACGACATTAGTTCACGAACCACTTCTCCTAATAACCAAGTAAACAACCCAAAATTAGAGACACAAACACAATAACATACATCGTATTACTACATAAAAGCCTAAATTTTATTACATTTTCCTCCTCTTTCTCCATCCCGCTGGGAATCTGTGGAACACCACGATTGACCAGTGCATTTTCACTGATTTCAAGGAACAATTCAGAACCATGCTTCAGAATAGGTAAGGGTTTGTTAAAATCTATTTGTCGAGCTCGAAATGAGACTTTGCTCATAGCTGAAAACAAGAACAAGAAAGGCAAGCTCATTGATAGGTAGTTCTTAAGATATTTAAAGATCAAGATAAATGGAAAATAAAGTCTGTACATTGATTTACAATTTCATATTAAGGATATCATAACTTAATAACCTTAATTATCTTAATCTTTTGGCCCCACTCCAATATGGCGCGGGGTCATTTAAGTGAAATCCAGTATGGCGGTTCGACCAACTGCAAATGGCCGACAAGATGGAGGAGAACATATATCGTTGAACTATTATAACAACTTTATAATGTCTTCAAGATTTTTCTAGTTTCTAGGCCTAAAAATAGATATGTCTATTTCGACACTCCGATTTATACTCATATGTTTTCAAAGTCTGTTGAAGTGTTGCTTTTTCTCTTCGAATTTGAACTTTATTCACCAGTTTGTAAGACGTAAGATGTGCCTAGTATTAAGAAGAAAATGACCTGACCTCAAAGTTCATCGGATAGCATTGTACTAATTTTCTCTTATTCAAAGCCTAACGTAGTCTATCTCTGACATGTTATCTTGCACATAATCTTTAGATATACAGCCTGGAAGAGGATATTTCATCTTTGTTCAAGCCGTGTTATCATACTTCGCATACAGCACGGAGATACAGTGTTAACTTCTCAAATATTGTCGGCAACTCAAAAAAACACCAGGAACGATAGTATAAACTGGATTAATGCATATCATCACTACTTACGAGCGATGAGATTATAAGGTTCATCGAGACCACTCGGTATCGTATCGGAGTTTCTCATTTGGCTCTGATACTCTCCAGATAAGACACAACTTCTTGATAATGGCTCGGTCTTTGGTAAACTAAGTTAAATACTCGTTTTCTACTGTATTTAGCAGGTGGCCTTCCCAGGCGCTCGCCCCCGCCAGTACCTTGTTACTTCTACGGGCCAGTCACCTAGTCACTGCCAGCAAGAGTTTGTTGGAGTTTAGAGTACACAGTTGATACGGAACAAAGCATTCTGTCGTGTGGGGTCAGCTGCAGCAATTGCGTGGAAACTGGTCTGGCTTGAGTAGTTATTCATGGTCAATTTGAGCTAATTTTTAGTGAGGTTGTTGATTGTCACCTCGTAATTGGCGTTTCACTATAGGCGTAATTACTAACCAATCCAGTCAGAATTTCTGTGAGTTTTCATCCGTATTCAATTATTTCGACACAAACATGGTGTTTCTGTATTCGCTTAACGGCTATTAGAGAAACTATAGTAGTCCGGATATAACACTCGATAATTTAGCGTACTCAACTATCCTTCATTTATCTCATATTCATGTAAGGTTTGTGTATTCGTGTTTATTTCCTTAGGTCATTGCTAGAAGAGTGTTCCACACTTCTCAGTCCCCATCCTTCCCGCTCACCCTATTCCTGTTATACATTAGCAACAATTCCACGGCTGTGCCATACAAAGCATCTTACCTACACCGGCTACATAAGGCGTCGTCTTGGTCGCGGTGGTCGAATAATATGTGATCGTGTCGCAGCCCCCACACCACTTTCTGCTTATCTCCAGTCCTATGATGCGAATTTGAGATCTAGCGGTTCAGCTAGTCCAAGTCTTATACCCTCAAACGTTTGCTGGCGACAGTCACAAACAAAAGATGTTGCTTTGCTCAACAGACTAAAGACTTCTATTTTCAGTTCGCACCGTGGGCGTCCTTCATTCTCCTGGCCTGTTTTTGAAACTATCTGCCCACCAATACCCTTCGAACCTCTACTTATTGAATCCAAAGGTTCCACAGATCATCGTTCCTCTCCTATTCTCTACTCGAAGACGGATTGTCCAACAACTTCCAGGAAGCATCCGGATGATGTGACCGTAGATGAAGTTGCTCTGGATGCGGGACGTGAGTTAAATGATGTTTCGAATGACGGTTTGTTGATTCAGGAAAAACATTCTCCATTGCACCCTCAGAACAATCTAACTCCAAAGAAATCAGTTAATCTATCGTCCGCGGTTATGGTGAGCTTTTTTATTTGTGCTCATTTTTGAACTTTTGAAGGTTTATCTTTGATTTTGAGAAGTATTGTCATGTGGTGTTTACTCAGTTTAATTTTAGTCAGTCATGCAATGTAACTGCTTTGATGACCATTCATTTGTTCTATCTAAATGGTTAGATATTGTGACAAATTATGATATATATTATTATTAATTGGTTTTACATTGATGATGGCTAAGACCTTAACAATTTCTTTGGGCTTGCTTCATACATATGTAGATTCCCGTCACGAATCCAAACATGTGTCAAGCCTCCCAGGCGATGTTGGTGCAGAAGCCTAGCAATAGTTTGGTGTCAACTCATCGCCTCTGGCGAAAGCTAGCAAGGCCATACGGTGTTACACTTCAGCCTTCTGAGTTTCCCAGGTCCCCTAGTGTTGATGTTTCTTTCAGTAATTCTAATGGTAACGGCCTTTCTTCGACGGACAATAGAATGTTGCTGACGGATCCTTCAGTCTTGCCACCACCTAAAGTACGCTGTTTAACTCGTGACTGTGGGTCTAGGGATTCGAAAGTTCCTGGTCCTCAGCTACATGTTACGAATGGAGTAAGCCCAACACAAATCTTTCAGCTTCCAACTTAATCTTTCGAACTTTGCAATATGGAAGTTGTCTGTTTTTATAGTTCACTGTTAGCATTTAACTAAACTCTTCTCAAGTATTACCTCATTATACCTTTTGTGAACAGTTTATTTGCAATCCCAGTGGTATGATCTTGTAGCTTTTGTAAAGCTTATTATTATTATTGCGCTTCTGCGCTTCAGTTGTACATAGGGGCCTTCATGGCCACCCCCTTTCATTTTCCCTGTACACTTTCCCCTTCGCTCCATTGAGCTTGTACATTTTATTGGCGCATAGCGTCGTATGTCAATTGAATCAATGCATAATCTGAATGAATTGTTTTCTTTTTTATGTAGTGATAAATCCGTTTGTACCTTGGTACTTTGTTGTTTTATCAAAATAAGGGTTAATGTATATTTCTCAAGATAAATACCGATCTTACTGGTCCACAAGTTAGATTTGCCCCCCTGAATATGGTTTATCAGCCAAAGTGTAAAAAGTCAGATCCAATATAGGCTATGTATTTTTCACGTTCAATTAAGTGTTAGTTTGTTGAACTCGTAAGCCAAAAATGAAGAGTGAATCTCTTACTAACCTGTAGGTGTTTTTATACGTTTACTGAGTGCGAGTTGTCAGCTTTTATACATGTTAAGTCCTTGTTTTCTAAGGTTACATGCTTCAAGCGACTATCGTGTTTGGTCGTGCATACGGGCGCAAGCACCTGAAGCTTTTTCGAAGTTATTGACACGTCAATTGTAAGTAAACTTAAGATATGCCATGAGATGGCGCTTACTGAGGCTGATGTTCCGTAGTCACTTTGTTTTTGTGGGTTTACCTTGTGTCTGTATCACTATTTGTTGATAAGTAGGAATATGTTAAATTTGTTGTATGCTAGGTCTCCCAATTAATCGTCATCTCGCTTATGATATATGTCGTCCTAGTTACGCTACTAGGATATCCTGTTTCTGAAAATTTCCATAAATTCAGCAGTTTTGCTAGTGGAAGTAAAATGATGGTACTCCAAATTTCAGTCGTTGTGTACGCTGTTAAAACAGGGTACTAAAGTTCTGTAAGAAATCAATGTCTGCTTTAAAAATGTATTGCTACAATAATAGTTCACAACAAAAGCTAAATAATGAAGATATTATAATCTCTGTGTTTTGGTGCAATTTGCCTCAAAAAGTAGGTTGAAGGATAGAAAGTCTATGAACACTTAATTGACTTGAAAAGGGGATAGAGTCAAGACAGGATAAGACGAACTCATCCGATTTTTTAGTAGTTATGCTATATCTGATTGGGTGAGGGCAAACACGTTAAGATTCCTGGTTCAGTCTTTATGAAGTACGCCGTGGTTTACAGAATGTAAAAGCTCTCGTTCACAAACAATTATATAGCCAACCAAGAAGATACGGTTGCAGTGTACTTATGTCAGTCAGTCACAACGTAGAACTTCGTATGTACGTACATCAGTTCGAGTTGCCATACCACATTAGCACAGAGATGCAGTTGTCGATTCAAATCCATAGTGGTAGAAGTAGTAAGAGTTTAAGCAGTAACTGAAAAGATTAGGGTTTGAGGATGTTATTCAAGCAGTATGATCCAGTGAAATAAATTTGGAAAGAGAAAAAAGAAAGGGACATGAAGAATTCAGAAAATTAGGACTTGTGAAAACGCAAAGAGTGAATGCACCTTCGCCATTGCAAACGATTTTGAGCCATGTCATTCAAGGTCTCTAACCATCGATTGCTATCATTTCGCGAATCCCAACCAGGTAGTCTACACCTACCAACATGGCTTAGTCCACTTGTCAGTGACTTCATGGACTTGTGCCACGTTTTGGTCTGGCAGCTCCTAGCTTTCTTCCAACCTACTCCTACACCATAAAACATCGCACGTCGGGGCAGTCGGTGGTTGGGGATACGTAACACCTGTCCCAGCCATCTCAAATGATGAAGTTTCACTACTTCATCAATCGATTTACCATCCTCACCTAGTACAGTGTACTTATGATCGGTTTCATATCACGCATTTACTTTGTAACTGGTATGAAGATGATGATTTTGTATTGCGCTATTGATTCACACCTTGATGCTCGCTTGAGTCTGTCTAAGTAATGAAATAATGGGGGTGTCAAGCTGAAAATGGGCCATCCATATTTCCCTCGTGGAGCATTTGAAAATTTATGCACAATCTTTTCAAACTGAAAAAAATTTCAGTATGGTGCGCTGTTCTTATTCAGTTATACTAGATCCAGAAATTGGTTTGAAAGTTTTCGTCGTTAAAATGACGTTCCTGATGATATCTGTCTGGAGTGCATAGATTCCTATTTATCGAGTGATTAGTTTTATCTTTATAGTAGGTCTGTTCCATTTGATATATTTTACTCATATACACGGTTAAGTTTAAACGACAGGTTGGAGGACGCTATTAACTTCAATTTGTTTTACCGGTAAATCGAAAATCTTCGTGAAAAGGTTACTTCCCCCTGTTTGTCTCCCTTCGATTTCCCTTGTTTTTGGAAGACATAAATTATTGGACAAGGGACAATTATAACTTCTGTATATTGTATTTATGACTGAGGAATAATAAAGACCCTAGAGGGATCCGCCTTACAATTGCTTTCAAGACCCACCATCCCTCAGGAGATGGGTGTCTTTCAGTGAATATTAAGCTACAGTAAAAAGGTGCAAAACTCATACTAAACATTGGAGTTATATCGTAATCTCCCAGCGGTTAGCTTCTTTACAACCTAGGCACGTAGAACATGTTTCAATCACATTACTTAAGAGTGTTTGTATTCTCATCCTTGGCAAAATCCCAGACTTGAGTGGGAATCGGTAGGCATGTCAGTATTCTAGAAACCTGTTAAAGAGTAAATATTTCTTCGGTGCATTTGTGAAGAGATCCGAAACCCGCTTGATTACTTAGTATTTACTGTCTCTTGGCTCCTACTAAATGTCGGATCGTAGTCGGAGTTAATATAGTAGGCAATTAGTGAGTGGTTTGTGCGTAATTGTCGTGAGAGAATTCCTATACTTTTTCGGAAACTGGGACGATCTAACTGATAAGACTAGGCTACTGTCCATAAAAGCTCATGTTCTTAGCCCGTCAGAATCAGTTGACTTTTATTTCAAATTAGTCAAGGTCTTCCCAATCTCACTCGACAGACATCCTTGTCATTTTACTACAGACCATACTGGGCAACATCGGGGTGAGGATCTTCATGCTCGACCGTGTGCTTAGTTAAGCTTTAAACACACTTAACGAGCGGAATTCGAAGCGATCTTCTTGTTACAATTTTCCTTACTCAGCAACACTTAGCCAAACATACTTAGAAGAGGGAGTGGTTAAAGTTCATAAAGAGAAGGGACAGCCCCCTTCAAGACCTCGCCGACGACTAGTGACGAGAGTTTCGAAACATAAACTGTTGGAATCTTAAATATTATTCTGGAAATTTACTCATTCCGAAAGCTGGCTGTCCTAGGTTCGACCAATAGTTGAGTACTGGGTGCGAATTAAGGTTGCATGACGAAAGTGACAGCCATTCAGTGGTTGGTACTTTTTTATGTTGGTTTGTTCTCTGAGCTGGATGGTTTGGTCGTGGAACTTTCATCGTCCTTCTGAACGACATCATCAGCACAAACTTCGGGTAGAAGTGAAGTGTTTGAATTTCTCCACATGTGATTCACAGCTTGTCCTCTGCACCTCGATGTTGATGATGTCGTTCAGAAGGACGATGAAAGCTCCACGTCCAAACCATCCAGCTCAGAGAACAAACCAACATAAAAATCACCCACCTGAGCTACAAATCTTCTCCACCAGTGGTTGGTAGTTTCCAATTATCTTCCAGATGTTACCCCGGGATTGAAATCTTCACTTTGAATAAGTCTCAGTAAACCATCAATCTAGAAGCCTGTTTAGTTTCTAACTAATCCCTAGACTACTAACAACCCTTCAGGAAATACAGATCAAAACGATACGAGCAGGGAGACGGCTTTTCAAAATTTCAAAATCTATGACAAAATCACCCTTTCATAAACTCGCCCGCTGGCTGACAAGGTGCTTGGAACCAATCCGCAAGAAACTAGCACCCTATAGTCTGAAAGATAGTTTTGAATTTGTACAAAAACTTGACAATGTAAATGCATCTGATAAACTCATGGTCTCATTTGACGTCACATCGCTTTTCACCAATATACCCTTAGATGAAACGGCCGACATCATAGGTGAATACTCTGAACTTTTACCTTTACCATTTCATGACTTCAAACAGCTCCTGTTTCTGTGCACAAAAAACATACAATTCAAATTCAACAATGTGTTCTACCGTAAAATTGATGGAGTAGCCATGAATAGCCCTTTGGGTCCTATTCTGGCAGACATATTTATGGGTAACCTCGAACAGAAGAAGCTTAAGCATGCTATCGATAGTACCACACTATACTGCAGATACATGGATGACAACTTTCTTATTTGTGACAATCATAAACACTCCATCAATCTGCTCAATTTATTTAACAAAGCACACAAGGATATAGAATTTACGATGGAACATGAAGACGAAAATAAATTCCATTTCCTAGATATTGGAATTAGACGAACACCAGCGGGTACATTGCAAAGATATGTTCACCACAAAAATACTTGGAGTGGACTGTATCTCAATTACTACAGTTTCTGCCCGATGAGTTACAAAAAGGGTATTGTACGAACCCTTTTCGACCGCGCACGCAAAATCTGCTCCAATGAGTGTCTTGAGGAAGAAATAGCCTTAATCATCAAATGCCTACGTGAAAATGCATATCCAGAGAAGTTCATCCACAAATATGCAAACACCAATCGTCGAATAAAGTATGATCGAGTTGAAAAGAAAACATGCTTCCTATACCTACGCTTCAAAGGTGACGAAATCGCTGGAATAATTAACCATAGACTTATTTCCGCGTTGAAAGTGACCTACCCAGCAGCTAAATTGACGACGGTGTGGGAAACAAATTGCTCACTCAAACAAACCAAAATCGATAAGTCCTCTTTTCTCAGTACCTCCAACTGCATTTACCAATTTACATGTACGTGCCGAAGCACATACATTGGAAGAACCGAGAGAAGAGTGCATATCCGCATTTCTGAGCATATTCCAAAGAAACTGAGGTTGCAAGGATCCAAGGCTCTCAACAGTGCGATAGCTCGGCATTTACTCGACACCGGGCACAGCATCGACATTTCTAATGCCTTTAAAATCATTAGTAAACAAAGAAGT